AAACTCTCACTTTAGAATGTCGACTTTTTCTGAGGATCTATGTCTCCACAGCATCTCAAATTAATCTCCGTTTAGATTTCAAGAAATCCCCCCAGTCATGGTAAGTTACAGAGAAGACAGTGCACTGTGACAGTTTATGATTTTGACTGGGAGGTTTTCAAATTATTAACCCTAATTCGAACTGGAACCAAAAGTCCCCCTCCAGGATTTAATATCCAGACTCAATTTTTTTCTGATCAATTACAGAAAATAACTTCACTCGATCCATTGACCTGATGCATTGCACAATATCCGCACGTGTTTACGCGGATATGTTGCGTTACGCGCTCAGTGGCGCACAGCCAAGAGACCAACTGGCAAGTTGGTATCAGTTTAAGTGGAGGAAAGTCAAAGAGATTAGTGCATCGTTACACGAATCAATCGACAGATCGTAGTGTCACCGTGGAAATGTTAAAATCTGGGTAGGAATAATAAAAAGTGAAGCCAAAAAAGACACGAACCTGCGACCGGAGAGGGCTTCCGAAGAACGACCCACCGAGTCTTCCACTGTGAAGAAGTTTGGAAAGAAGTAAATCACAAAGGAAATTTCTGTAGTCGGCCTAGAGGCATGGGAGCACATTTAAAGTGAAAAATGAGACGCAAATATGTGGAATTAACCTTTTTACAACCTCAAAGGCAAATCAAGAACCCGGCCATTTGTGGATTTCAAAGGTAGATAACACTGTGTGACTTCTACGTAGAGGATCAGAATGATTGTGGATAATAACATTAAGGAACAAGATGGACATTTGTAAATATCCTGAAGGTGATATTTTAGGAGGAGGAGGATGAATTGTGTGTTCAGAGAAATGTTTAGAAATGTAAGCAGTGATAGGACCAGCTGGTGCTGCTCAAAAGAAATATCAGTTCATCTCACAGCATGGCTGTTCAAAAGTAGACACGAGCTATTTCAATGAGTTATCAATATTGGTGATGGTTAATAAGACTAGTTAAGGAGAAACATTGGACAGGAG